ATTCAGACCACGTGTTCTCGACCAGGGCATCTGCATAGGCTCTTCAGATTTAGCAATGCCCTAAGATTATGTACAAATCTCAATGCACATTATCTGTGCACTTTCTGGGGCCAGATTCTTCAACTTTCTTTGGTATCTCAAAGGATTCTGTAACTACCAAAAATTTAAGAACCACTGATTTAAACAGTATTCCACGATCCTTATCTATTATCTGACTTTAATTTCAGATTTCTGCTTTACTAATTTTCATATTGTCCACAAAATTCTCCCTTTTGTTCTGATTCATGGCTTCTTTACTCACTCCTTAAAAACATGGAAAACTAGAGCTTCATAAAATGAGGAAAGACCCTGTCTACTTAAAACTGCAGTCAGGGACTTCCCTGGTGGTCCAGTGGATAAGACTCCGCACTTCCAATACAGAGGGCCCGGGTTCAATCTCTGGTCAGGGAACTAGATCCCACATGAACGCCACAACTAAGAGTTCGCATGCCGCAGCGAAGATACCGCATGCTGCCACTAAGACCTGGAGCAGCCAAAATAGATAGATAGATAGATAGATAGGTAGATAGACAGACAGACAGATAGATAGATAGATAAATTTAAAAATAAAAATAAAATTGAAGTCAAAGTTGGTTTCAAAAGCTGAACCTACATATATTTAAGAAACATTTAAAAAAGAAAGCTATCTCTTCTGAGAGTTTTTCTTTCAGTTACACAGCCAATTTTATCTTTCAGTTGACCACTTGCCTTTCAACTGAGAAAATAACTGGTGAACTGAATTCGCGGTTCAGCTGTTCTTACCTTTATCTTTTAAGGCATGTTGAGACTTAACAGATAAAAATACATATGACCATCACCCCTAATCCCACAACACACATATACAGTGACTGACTTCCTAAGATGCTGTTCCTTCAAGAATTAAACCTTTACTTATAGAACAAAATTGTTTTGCTCTGATATAGCAAGGACTGATTTAGCAAGGAACATCTTGATGAAAAAGGGCAGAACTGCTGAGAATGCTAGCCTACTTTTCAACTGACTTTCCTCCTCTAAGCATCTGTCAAGTGTTGGATAAGAAAAAGGTGCTGCAATCTGGAGAGGCAGACTAGAATAAAAATATATTTGGTTCCAAGAATTTTTTAAAAAGACAGAAATGCCACAGGAAAAATGATAGACATAAGAAGGTTGAAAAGAGCTCTGCTCTCCTTTACTGACAAATAACTTCACAAATTATCTACACATATCATCTCTTCAGTTCTTTAACCCTCTCCAATCTGACTCCTTCCTTTCCCTCACAACCCTCTCCCTTCATCCAAGACATCAACAAAAGACTTGTAAATATATCTTAAATCTGTCCACTGCTCTTCACCTCTACCATCAGAACCATGGTCCAAGATTACTTCATATCCTACCTGAACCACCATCAACTAGTATTCATTTCTATTTCCTCTGTTGTCCCCTTCTGATCAACTATGTACAAAGTAGCCAGTGTAATCTTTAAAAATGGATCATGGCACTGAGTAATAGTTCCATGGTTTCCCAATGCATCTTCAAATTAAATCCAAACTCTCAGCGTTCAGAGAGTCAGTATGGCACAATTACTCACAATGCTCAAGAAGTGCTTGGAACAGTGGCCAGCACTTCACTAATGCGCAGCAGATGTTAGCGTATTAAGGTATAGCCCCTGCCCGCTCTCCTACCTCGAGGTGGCACTTTCCTAAACTAACCAGTATTCTTTCATTTAACTGCAAACTCTTTCCCACTTTGGGCCTACTGTTTCCCACTGTCTAAAATGATTTTGTCTTTGGGACCTCCCTGGTGGTCCAGGGGTTAAGACTCTGTGCTCCCAACCCAAGGGGCCCGGGTTCGATCCCTGGGGTGAGGGAACTAGATCCCGCATGCCACCAACTAAGACCCAGCACAGACAAATAAATAAATATTTAAAAAACAAAAACAAACAAACAAAAAAAACTTATGTCTTCCACTCATACTTCAAGTCTCAACCTAAATGTCACCTTATTGATGAGACCTTCTTTTCCTCTCTTTCTAAATACAATCCCCTGTAATTCTTTTTTTTTCTTCTTGCAGTACGCGGGCCTCTCAGTGTTGAGGGCCTCTCAGTGTTGTGGCCTCTCCTGTTGAGGAGCACAGGCTCCGGACGCACAGGCTCAGCGGCCATGGCTCACGGGCCCAGCCGCTCCGCGGCATGTGGGATCTTCCCGGACCGGGGCACGAACCCGTGTCCCCTGCATCGGCAGGCAGATTCTTAAACCACTACGCCACCAGGAAGCCCTATCATTCGTGTCTTATACAAATCCTTCTGGGAGGTGGGGATGGGGGGGTTAGTTCCCACCTCATTCTTTAAGGTTGACATAATCTAGATACCAAATCAAATAAGGGCAATACTATAAGAAATAAAAATTATGGACCAATTTCATCTGTGAACATACATACAATTCTAAATGAAATATTAATAAGTTAAATTCAACTACACTTTTTTTTTTTTGGCCACTCCATATGGCATGTGGGATCTTAGTTCCCTGACCAGGGATCGAACCTGCACCCCCTGCAGTGCAAGTGTGAAGTCTCAACCACTGGACCACCAGGGAAGTCGCTCAACTACACATTATTTAAAAAGACCATCATGATTAAGTTGGGTTCATCCCAGCAATGCAAGGGTGATTCAACATTTGAAACTTGATAAATGTCATTCATCATATTAACAGAATGAGGACAACCACATGACCATCTCACAAATGTAGGAAAAGCATCTGATAAAATTCAATACTCAAAAAAAAAAAAAATTCAATACTCATTCTTCACACACATACAAAATCTTAGCCAAACAGCAACAGAAATGCCTTTAACCTACAGAGTATCTATCAAAAATCTATAGCAAAGGTTATTCTTAATGGTAAAACATAAGGAGCACTTCCTTTTAAAAACTAAGTGCAATGTAAGAATGCCCACTGCGGGGACTTCCCTGGTGGTCCAGTGGCAAAGAATCTGCCTTACAGTGCAGGGGATGCTGGTTCAATCACTGGTCAGGGAACTAAGATCCCACATGCTGCATGGCAACTAAGCCCACGCGCCGCAACTAGAGCCCACATGCTGCCAACTACAGAGCCCATGCGCTCTGGAACCCGTGCACCACAACTACAGAGGCCACATGCCCTGGAGCCTGCGCACCACAACTAGAGAAGAGAAAACTCGCATGCCACAACTAGAGAGAAGCCCGCGCACCACAACAAAGGGCCTGTATGCCACAACTAAGACCCGACACGGCCAAAAATAAATTAAATAAATAATAAAAAATTAATCTTTAAAAAAAAATTCAAAAAAAACAAAAACAAAAAACGAATGCCCACTGTTAACACTTGTATTGAATACTGTAGTCAAAGCCCTAACTAGCATAGTAAGGCAAGAAAAAGAAACAGTGTAAGCATTGGAAAGGAAGACACAATTACAATCATCATACTTTAGTAACTAGGTACTAAACATAGATCTATATACCAAAAAAGCTTATACCAGCAAACAGAAAATGGAAAAAAAGAGGAAAAACATACTATTTACAATAGTAACAACAAATAAAGTATCTAATAATTAAATTTAAGAGAAGATTTGAGACACCTTTACAAAGAAAAAGAAACTTTACTGAAAACTATTTTAAAATATCTAAATAGCTAGAAAGATATACTATGTTCAAAGAAAGGAAGGCTCAATATCATAAAATAAAGAGAATAAAGTAAATGCATGTGTAGATTAAAGCTTCTGGAATCTTGGGCTCATATACAAGCAAGTCCCATTTTTAATAACAGCTTTTGAATTTTTACGTAACTTGACTCAAATTACTCACTTTGGTGGATATTTTTGCAATTGGTATAAACTTATTAAGCACTAATTATATATACTTTTTAACTAATTGTAGCAAGAGTTGATATCACACTTCAGAATTCTGACAGCTGCAAGGAACAAGTATGAGTGAGGAGCGTATGATCAGTACATGGCCGAGTTCTAGTTGAATGTGCTGTGGTCCCACTGATTCAAAGGTCATTCAGTGTGCACAATCACCACAATGTAAGTTCTAATAACCACTCCTGCAAGTGATGAAATGTTGCCAACATTTTACATAACACGTAAAGTTTTCATTCTTGATAATTATCTGTGAACACTGCCAAAACACCATCTCCTTAAAAGTCACCTAAAAATGTAAACATTTATTTTGAATACAAATTCCTCTTACAAGGGGAAAACAGACAAAACACATTTATCATACGATGATCATATTGAGCTCAAAGGGTACCTCTAGTGGATCTATGTGTGGTGCTTACACATACAATACCCTTTGTACATGTGAGACCGATAAGCAGTTGCCCAGTCTGCTTTTATAATAGATCTGAACTTGATCAAATGAATGATTTTCTTTAGGTCTAACTTACTCGGTTTTAATTTTGGTTTACATGAGCTGCTTAAACTTTGCTTTATCCAAATTTCCTAATAGAGTATTAAAAATAATGATCATCTGTTTTACTGGTTGCTAGGAGATGATAATACTAATAGTTAATATTTATTGAATGCTTAGTGTGCGGCAGGCACTGTTTTAAGTGCTTTGTATACAGTAAATCATTTAATCTTCACAATAACCCTCATCAGGTGGATAATATTACTATCACCATTTTATAGATAAGAAAACTGAGGTACAGAAAAGTTAAGTAACTTTCCCAACGTCACACAAGTAAGTGGAGACGCTTAGTGATTCATACCCAGGTAGCTGTCTCCAGAGCCCAGACCCTCAATTACTATATTATATTTCTTTTCACAATATTTAAAATATACACAAAATTACTATGGACGAAAAACCTCACCATTAAAAAAATTATCAATAAGAGTTAAACAACAGTTAAGCAATATTAATATCAATACAACTTATCATAGGTTGATACTTCACAGCTATTTCAAAGTTTCATGGCCATGATTAAGAGTTTTGAAGTTGGACAGACCTGGCTCTGAATCTTGACTGTGCCCTTTACAAGCTGTGTGACTTTGGACAAGTTTCGTAACTTCACCAAGCCTCAGTTTCCTCATCTGTAAAATGAGAATAATAAACATCTCACAAAATTGTTGTTAGTAACAAAATTATTGCTACATTACATTGATATGTAAATCCAAACAAAACAACAGATACACAAAATAGAGGAGGTTCACAATTTCCCCCAGAAATCAGGGCTTTATTATAAATAATGAAGATGACCACTCCAAGTCACCACAGCAACTATAAGACTCCCATACAAACAGAACCATAATACCCTCTAATTCATAATAAATAATTCCCCTGGATAAAAGTCAAATGCCTAGACGTAAATTACTGAATCTCTGAAATATAAAATACCATATATACATAGAGAAAGAGACAAATAGATAAGACGTTGTTTGTTGACGACTCCCACGAATCCCATTCCACACATACACTTTCTAAGACCAGTAGTATTCAAGGGGCCCAAAACAGGAAGAG